TATCTCAGCCTCCCCAGTGCTGGGATTGATTACATCTGACTTGTTTTATATCCTTTTTTTTTTGGTCTTTTTCCTTTTTATCGGTACCAGGGATCGAACTCACGACTGCCTGCTAGCAAGGCAGGCGCTTATGCCGCTGAGCTAAATCCCCAGCCCCGTTTTATATCCTTTTGATAGTTAAATTCCTCAAAAAGATTATCTGTATTGTATCTATTATCTGTCTTCTTCTGTTCAAAACTTCATCATCCTTGATTGTTTCTGTTTGTCCCATTTCACTGGGATTTTTTGTTTGTTTTTATGGAATGAGGCTCTGGGAGTTGAACCTTAGGGCCTTCACACTGAGCTACACTCCCAACCCTGTTTAAAAGGTTTTTTTTTGGGGGGGGGGGTACCAGGGAACATAAAACATTTTTATTTTGAGACAAGATTCTCCTGATGGCTGTGTTGCCCAAGCTGGGTTTAAACTTTGGCCTTCCTGTTTTAGCCTGCCTTCATGCTTAGATTATGCTAGTGCTCTCATGCCCAGCATCTGGGTGCTTTTTGAATGAAATAAAAGTAATACATATTTTCATTTCTCATGTAATTCTAGGCAGCATTAACAAAATAGACTACTTTTTCCCTGAAAGACTTACTCATCTTTTTCTAGCTCATTAAATGCTAGAGTTCTTCAATATACTTCAATAGTCTTTCTTTTTTTCATTATTTCATCTGCTCACTGCTATGGTATTGTTGCTGTTAATATCCTGACAAATCAGACATTTTTCCAACTCAAATGCCAGAGCTGTAAAATTTTTCTACTTGAAAAACTTGAAAAAATTTGCTGTAAAATTTTTCTACTTGAAAACTAAAATTAAAAAAATTAGGTCAGATGTCTTTTTACCTACCATTTTTATAGTAGAACTCTACTTAACCTAATAAACATCAGAGTCATTAAAAGGCTTGTTTTGTTTTGCTTTTTAGAAGGCTTGCTAAAATACAGATTTCTGAGCCTCATCTCCAAATCAATTTGGTAGGTCTAGGGCAGGCCCGAGAATTTCCTTGGCACAACAAGGTTCCCTAATAATGCTGATATAGAAAATTTGAGACTACATTAACAGGCAAAATGACCTGGTTGACTGCTGAGAAGTGGCAGAGCTGGAATTTAAACTTAGCACCCCACCTGGGTCTCTCTAGTGTATCACAAACCCTGTTTTGTTCACCACTAACACATCATATTACCCCTGTCTGGCTTACCTCCTTGGCTTCATTTCCTACCTTTAGTACAGTATATTCTAGATTCCCTCTTTACCTTATCCCCCTTCCTCCAGCATTCAGTGTGCAGTCAAGCCCAGCTCTACTCTCCCACAAGTAGTCTTAAATTCACCCACTTTCACCCTTTGCCATTGTCATAAAAAAAAAAAAATCAAGGCCACCCTCAACCCTTGTCTGCATTGCTGAAATAACTGGCCTACCTGCCTCTCTTCATACTCCTTCAATTCATTATAGCCACAGCAATAAGTAGTTCTTTTAAAAGGCAAATGAGTTAAAACATTTAATTTGTTAAAATTCTTTAATGCAGCCAGGTGTGGTGATGCACACCTGTAATCCCATCTTTTCAGAAATTTAGGCAGGAAAGGCAACCTGGAGAATTTAGCAAAGCCTTATCTCAAAAATAAAAAGGGATAGGGATGTAGTTCAGTGCTCCCTTAGCTCAGTCCCTAGTATTATTAAAAAATAGATCTGTATCCTTTTATCCCCTCTGAAAAAATGGTCAAGTCCTTACCACGTTGTGCAAGACTTGGTATGACCTACTATGCATAGTTGACCACCATTTTATATTATTACATTTTCATAATCATGTAATTCTACTGTCCTCTAGTGCAGTGCCAAAGTTGTTTGGTGATTTTGAGGCTTTATAACTATACATGAGAACCATTGCTGTGTGAAGTTCCTTTGTATTGTGTAATAGTTTATTTGCCTGTTTATTTTTTGGAGTTTTATGGGGTTGTTTGGTTTGATTTGGTTTTTGAGACAGAGTCTCATTACATAATTCAGGCTGCCTTCTACCCCATGTAGACCAGGTTGGCTTCAAACTCAGCAATCCTTCTGCCTCCACCTCTAGAGTGCTAGCATAATAAGCATGAGTCACGATGTCTGGCTTAAAAAATCCTTTGTTTTGTTTGTTTATTTGTTTTTGTTGAGTTTATTGATACATTTTAAATATACATATTGATCATCAGAGAATTTGTGCCTTACTAAGAATTTTTAACTTGTTTTCATGTTTTGTTTAATTTTGGATGTTGGGGAGCCAGAAGAGTCAAGCATGGGTGAGACAGAAATAAGTAAGTCTTTACATGAGAGGTGCTGGTGGTAATTGTTAGAGGACATTTTAAAAACATTTTCAGAAGTGTGTGGATGGTAATACACACCTGTAATCCAGCACTGGGAGAATCATCAGTTCCAGCTCAGGCTGAGCAAAGTAGCAAAAAACATAATGGAGGAGGAATGTAGCTTAGTATGATGGGGGTGAGAGGCAGGAAAGACACAGTTGAGATGATGGAGTCAGAAGCAGAAACCTAGATATTAAACTAAAAAGTTTGAAGTTCATCCTAAAAGCTATGGTGAATGAATTTAAAAATTTACATTTTAGAAACACAAAATAAATTCACCTGGGAAATGAACACTACAATTTGGAAGCAAAGACAACACTTCTCACTAGTTGATTTAAAGAGTAGCACTGAGGGCATTGGAGTTAGATTTACAGGAAATGTACAGATTAAAGAATTATTCTCATTGACTTGCCTTTTTTTCTTTTTATGTTGCTTCTACACCTTTTTTATACCTCAAAATTAACTCTTAATGATGACCTCTTTTTTGAAATCTTTCCCTATATGCTGGCTTTTATTTCTCTCTTTAAAATCAATACAGAACTACCAACTTGTTGTACTGTAGTTTGTACTTAACTGGAAGTATCACAATCATAAAAATAAGGTTGCTTTGTGTAGCCCAGGCTGGCCTCAAACTTGCAGGGATCTGAGTGCTAGAGTTGCAGGCATACACCACCATCCTGGCTTTGGGTTGCATTGTTAAGCAATTTAATTTCTATTCTGTGGATGTCATTGAGGAGACAGACAGGCAGACAGTCGCTTAGCAGTAACACAGCTAGGACTGGCACTTAATTCTTCTTGACTTTTTAAAAAACTTCTTTCATTCTTGCACTTTGACTTTTACTGCTCATTCCTAACCAGTGCACTGTATTTTAAGTTTTCATTGTGCCCATGTTCATTTGATTGAAAACTGTCTGAACCTTAGATGATCAGTTTGTAAATTATTTTAGGTATATTTTCCACTTTATTCTTAACATAATGAATAATATTTAATTGAAGGTATTAGCATATACAATGATTTCTGGCATTAGTTTTCCAAATATTTTGAGCAAGTCAAAAACACCAGTTGAAAGGTATGATTTGTTATCTTTTTAATAAATTGGAAAACATATTTCAGACATTAGAAAGACAAAGATAACCACATACCAGTCCAGTTATTTACAAGATGTCCAAAAATTGCATATTTTTTTCTATTAACTTTTATAATATAATAGGAATTGGTGGCAGGGTGGGTGGGTGATGAGTCAGGGTCTTACTTTAGCTCAGGCTGGTCCTGAACTCACTGTGTAGCCCAGGCTAACCTCAAACTGTTGCAGTCCTCTGCCTCAGCTTCAGGTTGCTGGAATTACAGAAGCATTAGGAAATATTAAAACAACAATATTACCAAATATATTGCATCTTTCTGTGAATAGTATATCCTATTCAATAACATTAGAATCTGGACAGTAGTATCTGGTATCTTTGTTAATTGTTCTTGCATTATTATCTGTCTTTCATCAACACACTATACACTGTTATATTAGCCTTCCCTTCTGTGGGAGGTACAATTTTAATAAAATGTTTACCCTGTAAAAGTAATGGTAAAGACATCAGTGATGGATGTCTTGGTGTTCTACTATCTTACGTTTTTCAATTATTTGGTCTGTTGGATCTAATCTAAACTGTAAATGACTTTTTGAACCCTCTTGTTTTGAAAAAATAACAGATCCCATGTTGTTTGGTCCAGAAAGCGCATAAGTATTTTATATTATTTTTCCTTTTATTTTATTACATGGCATCTTGTTAGATGTTGTTCAGCTATCTACATCACCTATAGAATTGCTAGGATCATTGATCACTAGTGTAATTTTTTTAGTTACTTCAAGTTCTGTCATTTTTGTATTATGAGTAGTTAGCAATAAAGGGATGTCTTGTTTTTCTCCACTTCATAACAGACTTCTCTGATATGCTAACTTTTTTTAGTTTTATGCTTTCTTCAGAACGTCCCTTCTGTACACTTAGTCTGTGTCCCAAATGTATCTGTTTATTGTAAAAGTATCACTGAATTGTGGAGAAGCGTAAAAATTGTATCTAATATACTTAGGAGTTTTTGCAGATTGCAGCACAAAATTTAAAAGGTTATTTTTCACAAATACAAATTAAAAAAGAAAATAGGCTGGGGGTTTATTTAGCTCAGCAGCATAAGTATCTGCCTTGCAAGTGTGTGGTCGTGAGTTCGATCCCTTGTACCATTAAAAAAAAATAAAAGAAACTTCAAATACAACATTCTAAATTTAAAAATATGCAAAAAATAGTCTACAAAACACAACAAACAAGAAAGTGGTTGAAAGGGCACCTGCCTGAGCAGTGCAGGATAATCAGGAAGTGAACAGACAATAGTGCCAAGTGACTCTCAGGCTGAGCTCATTTCAGTGGTGAAGCCAGGCACAGATTGCCGTCCTCCAGTTTCACTGCTTTGTTCTGATTTAGGCTTGCTTCTGCACTAGCTAGTGCTCAGCATACAGTACATATCTAGTACTTGCAGATAATCCTTTTTATTTAGTCTGCCTAAGAAATGATTCAAATGGAAAGTGATATATTGGGCAGTGGCTGTAGTGTGGGTTGTAAGTAAACTATTCTGTGTGTCCTTTTCAGATTTGGATGGTGCTCTATTCTCAGGGCCAGATGGTGTAAATGCAAGTCTGTTGGCTGAAGCCTGGTGTGCTCAAGATGGAGGCGACGCCGGTAGGTACAATAAAATTTTTAGCAAAGTACATTTAATAGGATTTGAAGATGGGCATGTGCTTATTTTTTGTTTTTTGTTTTTTTGCTTTTTTACTGAGGCCTTATGCAGTATCTTTCCTTATGTGTAAGTATTTACTCTGTGGTAGCTTTGTTTATAACAACTTTGGAAACGGTAAACACAAGTTGATAGTTGTGGTTTTGTTTGTGGGCTTATTGATTGGTTGATTTTAATATTTAAGTTTTTACCAGTGCATGTTTTCCGTACATAATGGTTACATTCATCATGGGGAGTCAATACATGTACATAACATCTTTTTATCCCCTCCCCCTCCTTTTTCCCCTTCTCCCTTTATCCCTTGGTTTTTTTTTTCCTTTGGCAAAAGATTTATCTCTCTGTTTCCTTTTATTTTGCTTTTTAATTTATTTGTACTTTGGGTTTCTCATATAAGAAACTACACAATATGTAGGGTTGTGTCTGATTTATCTTGCTTAACATTATGGTTTCAAGGTACACCCATTTTCCCACAAAGGACTTAAGTTTATCTTTTTATGGGAGAGTAGTAGTACTCCACTGTGTAAAAATACATTTTCTTCATCCATTGATAGGCTACCTCCAAGATTTAGCTAAATTTAAATTTAGATTTGTGACTTGAGCTGCTGTGAATGTGGGCATACATTTATCATTATAATAAGATGGGATGGGTTAAAAATTTATAAATATTAAAAAGTAGCTAATAAAGCATATAACCTCCTATATAACACCTGAGGGTGAAATGGGAAAGGAAATTACCACAACAATTGACTAATATATATGATGAAAAACTGTAAGTATTGATAGACATAGAAAATGTTGAGTGACTTGTACCAGCTATACTGTACTTTGGGAAAACCTGGATACACACAAAACAAAGTTTCTGTGAGTATGGTACAATGAAATAGTGTAAAAGGGAAACTTCTCTACCAAAGAATGTGAAGCTAGTAGAACAGTGATAGAATTGGGGAAATACCTATTGTATACTACCCCCATAGGAAGTAATTCAAGATCATCAGTGGATGTTCAGCCACTATTAACGATCTTGTTTCTCTATGATTGAAAAGTCTGGGAAGGCCAGATATGGTGGCACATGCCTGAAATCTCAGCGCTTAGGAGACTGAGGCAGAAGGATTGTCACAAAATTCTGGACTCTACCTAGTGAGTTCAAGGCCAGCCTGAACTACATGGCAAGACTATCTCAAATAAACAAAAAAGTTGCTGGAGAATGGCATATTCACTGATCTCAGGTATCATCCCACAGATTACTGATAATAGAAGGGAGAAGAGGTATCTTAATAATAAAAAATCTGAGAAACAATATGAACTGACTGAATAAAAATATTACTGTGACTACACACAAATTAAATGACAGCATTGGCTGGCACATATCATTAACCTATGTTGTAGTATTGCAAAACATTGAATCTAGTTATGAAAGGAAAAAATCAGACAAATCTAAGTAAATTTAGCTATGTAATAGATGGTCCAAATTCATGTCATGAAAGACAAGCAGAATAAAAGAGACAGTGTAAATGTAGTGTGGATCTTTATTACTTGAGGATTAAAGGGTGCATTTTGGGAAGAGTTGTAAATATGAATGTATGGTTTGTGTTAAGATTCCATCAACACTAAATTTCTGTGGTTTTGTAGAGAAGAATGCTCTAGAACAGTGGTGATGAACCTATGACATACATGTTATTTGTTTTTAAGACAAAAGATGTTAATGTATTAGTTTGTTTTCTAAACACCTCAGTATTGAGGTTTAATTGCAAGGTTAACACTTTGCAATACATAAGTATGTTTTGGTTTGCAGTTTGGGCTCTCCTTTCTGAGAGCTTTGCCATTTCTGCTCTAGATTATAATATGCTGTTTTTGGGCTTGAAGTAGAGAAAGTTTTAAAAGTTTGTAAAAATGTATGTATGTGAATACACAAAGAACATATGGCAGAGTTAACGTTAAAGGTAAAGACTTACGGGTGTTTGATGCTTCAATTTCTACATTCTTGAAATTCTTTTCAGAGTTGACAGGGAAAGGAAGACCACTAGGGCAAAAGAACTCAGGCTTCTAAATGAACAGAATAAAGCCACAGATTTTTTGTTTTTTTGTTGGCTTAGTTGGGTTGATTTGGTTTGGTTTGGTTTTTTAAGAGTCTCACTGTGGGCCCAGGCTGACTTGAACTCACAGCAATCCTCTTGCCTTAGTTCCTAAAAACCAGTGTTACAGATGTGTGTCACCATGCCAAATTTGAATCAGTTTTGAAAAAGACTGTCTTGTGGTTCCCTCACAGTTGGATTATTCGAAATAGTTTTTTTTTTTTCAAAATCCATTTTATTTCAAAGAAAAAAAAATACAACAAAATTCAAAATTAACAATCCAGACAACAGTGATACATACATTGTGCATTGCTATCCCCAAATCAGTCACCCAGAGCACCAGACATCTGCATTCAATTGTCCAAATAAAACTAGTTTTGAAATTAGCACTTTACAGTTCAGATGCGTTGCATTTTGAAGATTTTTTGCTAGTACAGAAAATTGATAATAGAACTGGGAATTTAGCTCAGTGGCATAAGCGCCTGTCTGGTAAGTGCAAGGTCATGAGTTCCATCCCCAGCACCATCACCCCCAAATGATAATAGAGCAAGAGTATTACACTTGCTTTCTTGGTTTAGAAATCTGGTCCAAGGATGAGTTTAAGTGGGCAATGTCAATTCATACATAAAATAAAAATTCATACTCAGACATTTTCTATGGAAAAGAATCCATGATATTTATTTCATTCTCAAAAGAGTAAACCCTTGCCAGGCATTATGGCACACCTATAATCCCAGCACTCAGGAGGCTGAGACAGGAGGATCACTGCTAGTTTGAGCCAAGCTGGGGCTACATGTTGAATTCAAAGCTAGCCTGAAATCCTGTCTTCAAAAATAACAAAAAAGTAAACACTTGGTTTGAGTCATTCCTTTTTTTGTCTTTTTCCTTTTTATCGGTACTGGGGATCGAACTCATGACTGCCTGCTTTCAAGGCAGGCACTTATACTGCTGAGCTAAATCCCCAGCCCCTTGAGTCTTTTAGGAAAGTGGGCATTTTGATTGATTAGTATTTTTGTATCTGAGTTCAGCTTTTGTCTTAGAATTTATGTCTTAGGACATCAAGAACATTGCTTTCTCCTTAGTTTGCTATTCTGGAATAATATATTTAGAAAGGTATTGAACACTAACCAATTTAGAGTAGATCCTTAATGACCTTAATATATTGAATTATAATGACAATACCTTTATCCAAGTGATTATAATTTCTGTAAGTAATCTCTGCTAGTTACAAGAATTAGAAGAGGTGTAAAGAATTTTCAGAAGACTTTTAATTTGTATTCTGTAAAGTGTTTCTTACCATTACCATACATAATTCTGATTCTTTGATTAGCAGTTACAAAAGTTTAGGTATATTCTATCTATGTAGCAAATATTAAATTGAACGTATTGGGGCATGTAACATGATTTCTTTTTTTCTTTTTTGGAGTGAGGGGTAGTACTAGAGATTGAATTTACAACCTCATGTTTGCCAAGCAGGTGCTTGTGACACTGAGCTAAATCCCTGGCCCTCACATGATTTCTTGGAAACTATGCTTGATTTTCATATATTTTAAGCAAGTAAAAGATTAGCCTTCAAAGTGGTAGTACACTCCTGTAATCCCAGCACTTGAGAGGCTGAGGCAGGAGGATTGTTTCAAGTTCAAGACCAGCCTAGGCTACAAAGTGAACTAGAGACCAGTCTGAGCTGCATAGTGAGACCTGTCTAAAAAAAAAAAAGAAAAAGAAAAAGAAACGTTAAGACTTTTTTTTTTTACTTTATTGGGTATTGATGCTTTCACTAAAGAGGAAAATACATTAAATTTCTCAATTGTTAAATATCTAGTGAATACAATAAGATGCATTTTTATGAAATGTGTTTTGGTAAGCATTCTTTTATTATGACTACAGTGTTCTTGGGAATAAAATTTTATTGCAGATTGAGTTATAACTTATCCTAAATGTCTGGGATCACAAGTGCTTTAAGATACTAGAGTTGCTGGGGATTTAGCTTAGTGGCATTAAGCGCCTGCCTTGCAATGCATGGTTGTCAGTTTGATCCCCGGCACAAAAAAAAAAAAAAAAAAAAAAAAAAAAAAAAAAAGATATTGTAGTTTTTAAGATTTTGGAATATTTGTATTGGGTTTACCTGTAGAACATCTCTAATCTAAAGATTCAAAACTTTGAGCATCATGGGGTGTTCAAAACTCAGATATGAAAGGATTTCAGGATTTTGGGTTTGAGCTTCTGAGTCTGTATTGTTGCACAAACGAGATATATATATATATATATATATCTTGGGAAGGTTTTTCAGACACATAAGTGCCTTGAAGTGAGAAAGGCTGCTTAAATACCAGTTCAAAAAGTCCAAAGGTGGAGAATCATTGTCCTCTGTCAGTCTGTTTGCTGTTAACAATATTGAAATAGCTGATACTAGGTATTATATAAAGAGATTTAGTTAGCTAACAGTTCTGGAGGCTCAAAAGGTGTTTTTTATTTAGCTCATGTGTATTGTGATGTGTCACTATTACTAGGATACAAATATATTTTTGTTTTTCTGTTTTCTCTTTTTCTTGGTCTTTTTTTGAGGCAGGGTTTCACTATTTGGTTCAGGCTAGTCTTGAACTCACTTTGTAGCCCAGGCTGTCCTCAATTTTAACACAATCTTTCAGCCTTACCTCCTGAGTGCTGGGGATTATAGGAAGAGAGACACTTACTAATGTTGTTACTTCATAATCAACTTTATTGTACTAGGTACTTCACATGATTTCAAGTATGGTTTGATACCTGGCCTGTCAAGTGATTTCAAGTATGGATTACTACCAGGTACTTCAAATGATTTCAAGTATGGATTGCTACCAGGTGCTTCAAATGATTTTAAGTATGGATTATTGCCAGAATCTTGGCCAAAACAAGAAACTTGGGAAAATGGTAAGTATTGGTTAGCCAAACAAATAGCAAATTCTTCTTTCTCAGTCAGATTTTATTGGTACATTTTAGGTGTATATAATCACATTCATCATAGAGAATTTGTACCTATAAATAATATAACTTGCCCCCCCCATTATTCTACTCTCTAAACCCTTCTCCACTCCTCAACAAATATAGAATTCTGATTTATTTATTTAATTTCTTTTTGAGACCAGTTTTTGCTATGTAGCTAAGCTGGCTCTGAAGTTTTTATGTGGCTAGCCTCAAAGTCACACTCCTTGCCTCAGTCTCTCGAGTGCTGGGTTTACAGGCATGCATTGTCATGCCTGCAGAATGTTAAAGTACATTTTATCAATAAAAAGCTTCTATATTTTAGGTTTTAAAAAATAAGTTGTAAACCTATATTAATTGCTAGCTTTAGGGAGATTGAAGCCTTAATAGCAAATTTAATAAGTGCTTTTTAATTTTTTTAATTCTTAAAGGTGAATCATCTGTAATCATGGTGAACAAATTAAAATGCCCTCATTGTAGCTATGTAGCCAAATACAGACGAACACTAAAAAGGCACTTGCTCATTCATACGGGAGTGAGATCATTTAGCTGTGATATTTGTGGAAAGCTGTTTACTCGAAGAGAACATGTAAAAAGACATTCCTTGGTAAGTTTGAATAAAATCAGTATTTGTGATAAACTGTATTATGCCTGTGAAGTTTAAAGCATTTTAATAATTATTTACAAATTTAAGATAATTCTTAAATTGCTTTAAACAAAAAATTATTTATGAAATGATACCAAACTTCATCTGAAAAGCATTGGTGTATTCACTCGTTATGTTTAATTTGAGCGGTTCACATGTATTCTGTTTCTATACTATCCTTACATTGGATTTTTCCCCCCTTTAATTAGGTGCATACAAAGGATAAAAAATACAAATGTATGGTGTGTAAGAAGATCTTCATGTTAGCAGCCAGTGTTGGAATAAGACATGGATCTCGTCGCTATGGTGTTTGTGTAGACTGTGCAGATAAATCACAACCTGGAGGGCAAGAAGGTGTAGATCAGGGACAGGATACAGAATTCCCTCGGGATGAAGAATATGAGGAAAATGAAGTACGAGAAGCTGATGAAGAGCTGGTTGATGATGGAGAAGATCAGAATGATCCACCTCGATGGGATGAATCAGGAGATGTTTGTATGCCCCTGGATGATTAATTGACCTTCTATACTCCTCAAGGATGCTGCATTTGGACATAATATGAATCGACAATTTGGATTGTTGAACTTGAAGGCTTGCAAAATATGGTACATGCTGGATGGTAGTTATGTTGCTGTGAAAACTGTAGGGTCAAAGCCTTATAGCAAAAAAAAAAAAAAAAAAAAAAAAAATTTTTTTTAATATTTGCACAGGACTGTACAGCAAACAACCATGTGGTTGCTTACATGGAGTCCCCACATATTCAGTCAGTTATCAAAGTAAAATATTTTTATTTATAGGATATACAGTAACTATTTGGGTCCTATGAATATATAGAACCTGTCCTTAATAGCTTACATTCATGTACCACTTTAACATGAATGAAGAAAACCCATTTATAGAAGTACAGTGACAGTTGACCCAATCACTCTGTCCATCAAACCACTCAGGCTAGTTTGTATACTAGTAGAGTTTTATTTCTATTTTTATTTTTATTAATTTTATTTTTTTTTAATACAGATTTTTTCAGTGAGGGGCTTTTTCAACCCCATTGGTTCTATTTTCTTGAATTTTTTCCATTTTAATTTGCTTCATAACTTAAAATCTCCTAGCCTTAGATATTATTTCTCAATTTTGTGCTGATGGGCATGTGTATGAGAACTGGAGAGGTAATTTATTGGAATGAACTAACTGACTTTCCCCAGCCCCTTTCCCTTTTTTGACATGAATTTTACAAATGAAGAATGATGTTGCTAAGTTAATGTGGCAAAGTTGACAAAGACCACTGAAATGATTATGATTTAGAAGTAACTTTCTCCTGCTGCTCTGATCTGATAAATGGTTACTGTATGATGGTTTTTACATGGTATTTGGTTTTGGGTATCTGTTACTTTGGCACTATTCTTGTTTGCCTCTTAACTATTTTTGCCAGTGTACTATACCTCAGCCTTATTTGAGCGACAGAAAGCAGATTTAAAAAGTCGTAAGAACAATAAGTAAAGTGATTTGTTTTATAATTTATCTTCCATGTCCAGTTTGGTTAGCTTGTTATGCAATATAAGTGAAATATCAGGTTTCTATTCCTGTGCCCTTTTTATCATTAAAATTCACACAAAATGTGCATTCTCTTTTGTTTCATACTTACTGGGACTTTGAGTTTTTGAAATTATTGTTGATTTATTAAGTTAATTTATTTTTCCATTCTTTAAAATCACTACCCCTTGATGGTCTTTCTGTAGTCACCATGATTTAGCGGTCTGAAAAAGTCTTACAAATAAATTGTCTAGAGGCTTTATTATTAACTAAATTTTTCAGGGTACAAAAGGTGATATTGTTGGATTTATTTAAGTGACAAATTAGCTGATTGTGAAAACCTCAACAACATTTCATGTATTAACATAGACAACATTTATTGGGAGCATATTGTATATTATATAAGATTGAGGGACATCATATTTTCATCTTTCTTTAAATAAAAATCAAGTATATTTTCCTATTTTATATCAGGTAATAAATTATGCTAGTTGTGTGGGGAAAATTGCAGATACTTTGATCGATGACAATCCTTTTGGTGCTCCATCTGGTCAAAGTTGAAAAGTTGATTTTTTAAACAAGATGTATCAGTTTCTCTGATTTCAGTAGAGTAATGGTTTACTGTTAGGCAATGAAGTTTCTGCTTGGCTAAATCAAAGTATAAAACCAGTTCTGAGGTTAGTTGTACCTTTTGTCATTCAAAATTTCTTATGGTTTCTACATAATTAAGCCTGACAGAGAAATAGTTTTGGGATTTTTTTGCTTAAAACTGAATAAGATGTAGTCATCTTATTCTCAGTGTTCTAGAGAAATGAATAAAGTGTAATTCTAGTGAGGTCCAAAATAGAAATTAGTTGGGCAAAGATAATATCAATGAAAAGGTATTTTAAACATAAAATGTTCTGCTTTGTGAATATGTAAGTATAGTATAAAGATTTCTCTCATCCCTTTTTATCCCCTTCCTTTAAAATAAACCATAGTTTACAATTGGTAGATCTGTCTATATATATAAATATATATTAAAGAGCAAAGATATATATCTAAAAAAACCACCTAAATCTGCATTATTAGACACTTATTGCATAGAAACCAGACTTGGCTTTACATTCTTTTAATGTACTTTTACTTTTCCTCAAGGTATAAAACTTACTCTCTTGAAACTGAATTTTCTTTTATTACTTAAATCATATTTGTATATCTGGTAAATTATGACCAAATTTTTGTTAGGTTTCATACAGTAAATCAAAATACACACTTGGTACACTACGGGGTTGTTGTGCTTTTGTTTTGGTTTTAGTTGGAAAAAAGGTTTGATGTAGGTGGCTTGTTACTGTTAATTTAAAATATTCTATAATTGTCCATTAATTTTTAATGTATTGTGATAGATTTGGCTATATTTTTTAGTCGTCTGACATAATGATATTTTAAAAGCTTGTTTTTAGGTAATCCAAAGGAAAAGAAATGTTTATACTCTTGAATATATTAGCCTCAGCCTATATAAAAATTTCTTTGAAGTAAACATTTTACCAGAAACAGAATTGACAGATTTTTCTACTTGCTGACTGCCTAACTTATTTTGTTTCATGATCTCAAGGGACTGCCTATTTCCCTTCTAGATCTTTTTTTAAAAAATAGTTTTAGTACTAAGGTATACTACTGGACATTTCTATTTTTTTAAGTATATTCTTTTTCTGACTTAAAGTACAACAATTTCAGGAAGTGGATGGATACTAAGGACTTACTGGTCTCAGAGAGGTATTGTTGGAATGAGTACTCATAGTTTTGTCTGAAACTGACAGAATTATGTGTTATACATTTGGTGAAGTGTTTTCTCTTGTAATTTATATTTTAAATGAGTAATATTTTAGAGCTTTTAATTTTAATTAAGGGAAAGTTTATAAACTTTCACATTTGCTCTGTAGTAACAGGCCCTTTCATAAAGATCATATTTTGTAGGATTCTTGAGACAGTTACTTCTCATATGGGAAGACCTTTTTGTCATGGTTTTTGGCTCTTTATTTTTCTGCCTAGGTAACTTGCTAAATTTTAGCATCTCAAGCAATTGAGAGCTTATTTTAAAAAAAAAAGTAAACACTACAGGAAGGGAAACCTGGACACAGCTTTGAAATTTTTGTTGGGGGAGGACAGTAGCAGATTTAAATTGATCCTTTGTGGTGGAGAAGATTGAACTTGAATAAGTTAATTGATGAGAAAATTCCTAGAACACTGGTACATCCTACGTATAACATACATCTTGTTTAATAACATGTGTGAGCCAAGAGAAAAGGTGTTAGGAAGAAAATAGGAGATGAAAGGATTTGGACTTAGATTTGTGTTAATACAATATAGTAGTCCTAAAGACGACTGTAATAGTGTATTATGGGGAAAAACTGATGGAAAACCAGGGTTTTTTAATGTTAAAATTTTAAAACTTCAAAAGCATTATCTTGTATGATTTTCTGAACACCATAAAAGGTTTAGATTCACTGTTCTGAGTAGTTATTCCAAAAATTACAAACGCTTTTTGAGTGCCCACACTTGCCATTGTGTTAAATGCATTATTTCACCCCTCTGAGTAGGTGCTATTGTCTTCATTTTATAGATGAGGAAAGGCTCAGAGATTCAGAATCTTGCCTAATTTCACACAGCTGTAATTGAGCTGTGATTTGGTCAGGTCTGATTCTGAAGCCATGCTTTTTAGGAGGTGCTCTTGCTGCCTCATTAAAAAACTTTTTTGGTAGAATCTTTTAAGGAGTCTGTCTATGGAGATTTATACTGAGCCTATAAAATAACTGTGTTAGGAATTTTGTGTCCTTCCCCCAAAGTGAACATCCTTATTATTCTTCCCTGTTGATAAAACAATTGTTTTATCATTTGGACTTCAAACCCAAGGATAGCACATGCTATTAGTGGGTTGCAGCATTTTCATTTTTAAAAGGGTGATTTTTTAAAAACTGAAGGACTAGATAATGAACCCAAGTTTTTGTGCCGTTCGGTCACCCGGATCCTTAAACTTACATGGTACATAATACACACTTTTAGAACTAAAAGGCGTTTTCTTACAGTCATTAGTATTTAAAATGGAAAGTGGTTTTGTTTTTCTTGCTGTATCCCTGCTTTCAACTGAAGTTTTAAACACTTCTCAAAATGTGTTAGGGATAAGCACACTTTAAAAGATGTTTTCTAGCCCCAAATTTTATGACATCAGTTAAGAACAAAATTTTGGGCTAAGGAGAGGGCTGGTGGAGGCCATTATGAAGTGGGAGAATCAGCATTTTAAACACTGTAAACATAAAAGAACACTTTTTTTTTTCTGCCTGCTGTTTGTAAAAGCTCTCTGGGAGGATCTTTTACGAAGACCAATTTTTTAAAATGTAATTTACCTACCTAATATAAATGTCCTAAGACATGTATGTAAACTTCCAAAACTGTTTTGTCTGTGTATTTAGAAAATACACAAGAATCTTTATCAAACCTAAAAATATAAACTTGTGAGCACTAAACTGCTTCTGGCTTGTGAATTTTATTGACTGACATTTAATTCAGATTTGCTTCCAAGTGTACTAGTTTAGACTAATTGGGTTGGGGGAACACCTTTGTAAAATTTGATATATGTGCAATTTAGATATCTTAGTACTAACAAGTTCAAATTGCAAGTATTGTGAGGGGTTTTATTTGTATGTTCTTATATGAAAGTGCATAAATGACTCAGACTACCTCCTGGTGCTTCTTAGAGAGCTACTTTAACTAAATAGGTAGACAATGATTTATATTCAATCTATTTTTTAGGATTTCTAGCAGGCACACCCAACCTGTAACTCATCACCTCCCCATTGAATGTTACAAAAAAACAGTAAATTTTGTTGTGTATATATTAACTTTTATATGCAAACCATAACGGTTCTCTTCACTCAGAAAACAAGGTGAAAAAGAAAAAAAGGTAGGCCACAGGTTGTACATTCCACACAGGTTTTAGGAAAACTAAAGAACAGTTCCTGTCATTAAGCTTGTGCTTAATTTACACTTGGAAATCATCTTAGGGAAATGGGTTGAAAATTAAAGGTGAACTGCTATCCCATGATTACTATATATTGGATTAATAGATTATAAGTAAATGTATGAATTTTAAGTTTGAATTTTAGTAGGTTTGTTTTGTTAAGACAAGCTCACTCTGCAGTTGAACCTGGCCTTGAAATCAGTATGTAGCCTAGGCTGGCCTTGAACTTGTGGTGATCCTCCCACCTCAGCCTTCCAAGTGCTAGGATTATAGGTATGTACCACCATGCCTGGTTTCATGTTTTAAAAGTAATAGAAAAATAATTGTAGAATGACTCATTTTTATATTACTAAAAAAGTTTTGTTTTATTTTGGAAAAGGGCAAGGTAAATAGACTCACATAGCTATTTTTTTCTTTTTGGTTTTTTGAGGCAGGGTCTCCCTTTGTAATGTGCTGTGTAGCCCCGGCTGGCCTTGAACTCATGGCAATCGGAACTCCTAGTTTAGCCTCCAGATGCTTGGATTACAGGTGTGTGCCACCACACCAGGCTCCTTACATAGCTATTTTGCATATGAAAAGCTATTGTAAAGTATTAATACATATTTTGTGTCCTTCCAGTAGGTAATGATTAGGACCCCTTAACTCAAGATTAAAAGGCGGTTATCCAAAGATAAATGAGATTGCTTGAAGGAAGAAAAAAACACTACTTCTGGGTAAAAGAGAACAGTTATTTTGATGAAGTTGTACTAGTCAAGCATTTGAGTGCTTCTCTTTTTTAAGTGTTGGGTGATCATGTTTGCTTGTTATTTTAGGAAGTGATAGAACTATTACATATTCATAAAAATTTTGACAAGCAGTTTAGGAAATTTGGAATAAAGAATGTAGGGATCAACTTTATGAAAAATGCTATAGAAGCATTTCTCTTCTGTCTTTGTCACAGATCATGGTTTGGGAGCAGTTACAGGAAATTGAATTACTGAACTTACAGTTAAATACAAAAATTAGTGGTACTTTAGAACTTAGTCTGGGGCCAGGGATTTAGCTCAGTGGCATAAGCGCCTGCCTGGCGAGTGCTAGATCGTGAGTTTGATCCCTAGTACCTAAATAAATAAGGAGCTACCCAGAATTTAGCCTGGCATAACTGTCTTTGTGAAGTTTGAATTAAAAAAGGATTTTTTAATGAATAAGAAATCTATTAAAGTGAATAAAAGGGTCCATAACAGGGCCAGGAGTTTAGGTCAGTGGCACAAGCACCTGCCTGGCAAGTGCACGGTCATGAGTTTGATCCTCGGTACCAAAAAAAGCAACAAAAGGCTCCATAACTGCATGGTGTGTTAAGACTGCCTCCTTAACTATCAGCTAGATTTACTTTCCACAATGTGACCAACCAATCTTAAATTTGGTAATAAGAAAAATACTAGTCTTAAATGTAATTAGATACTAATAATGGTAATAAGAAAAATACTAGTCTTAAATGTAATTAGGTGTGATTTAGAATCAGTGAAATATACACACGAGACTGCTTGGCACATGTCTCAATAGTTGGTGAGAGAACAATATATATATGGGCTAAAAATAATTGTAGAATTTGTAGGTTGAGGGAACTTTACTAGACTAGCTAGGAAGAATATCCAGAAAGGTTAAAATAGACTGCAGTCAGGACTCTTGAACTTCCTATTTCAGTATCTTTTTCTGTATCAAACTTACTAAATACTTGACAGGGAAAACTGAAATTAGGGAATTATAGAATATACTCAAATACTGTACCTGGCGTATAGTAGTGCTCCAAACTATAATGAAAGACCAAAGGTATCAGTGTCTTAAGGATTTTGTGAATTAGTGTCATGTGACACTTAGCTAGCAAACCTACTTCATGTAGAGAGATTGTCAAGTGTAAGATGCAGGGTTACCCTGAGGATTTGAGGCCCTTTCCCCCTACTACACAAGTCATAATGTGACCATACCACAAGATGACTTTTTAGAGAGATTTTAACCTAGACTATTTCCATCATTTAATACATTAGAACTATTAGCCATTTGCTGCAAAACATATCTAAATGTCTGACATTTAGTGTATATATGAAAATTAGGAGGAAAACCCCATTTGCATTTGGTGTATAGAGCGCAATAATACATCAATAAAGAATACATTTACAATATGATGTCTTAGTTGCTAATCAATTTTTGTGTTTGTGAAAAGATAGTGGATTTTGCTACTAAGGTTTTATATGCAAAACAAATATGTATTTACATGAAAGCTAACGAGGTGCTTATTACCTTTGTCAACTTGTTCCCTATTAAGTCATCCACTTGGATTATCTTTCCCTACCCCCTAACTAGGATTGTAGTATTTACATGGACGTGGCTAATTCTCCAGAATTTGCCATGCTAATTTTTCAAGTACAGCAACCCTTTATTTCTACAAGTTTCAAGTCCATGGATTCAACCAAATTCAGATTAAAAATTTATGGGGGGAAAATTGCATGTGTATTAAACACTTGACTTCATTTTCATTATTCTTTAAACAATACAGTGTAACTATGTACTTAACATTTACATTCTACTAGGTATTCACTAGACCTGGGGCTGATTTAAAGTCTACAGGAGGATGTGTGGTTGATATGCAAATATTGTGCCATTCTGTGTAAGGGACTTGAGCGTGCTTCAATTTTGGTATCCTCCAGGGATCTTGGAACCAATGTTCCCCTGAATTCCACTCAGAAGACTAGTAATCACTACTTCATCACAGCAGTTCGTTCATTTCAAAGACCAGCAAGTGTAGAAATTGGACCCACTTTCAAAAGTATTAGTTGAGGGCCATTTATAGCTAAGGAAATTTGAAGAAATTTAAATTCTAGAGTGTCACATGTATAGGTATGACTTTAATTGCTACTTTTTGGATTTTATTTTGTAGACTTATAAAGACTTCTTTAAATTAAAATTTTCATGAGACTGAAAGCAGCTTTTTTTTTTTTTTTTTTTTTTTTTTTAAAGAGAGTCTCACTTGCAGTTCCAGGCCAGCCTTGAACTTGCTATGTAGCCAAGGGTGGCCTGAAACTCATATATACTCCTGCCTCAGCCCACAGAGTACTGAGATTATAGGCATGCACCACACCTGCTTTTAGGCAGCTTATTGAAGACACTAATTATTCTAAACTGAGATTTTCTTGCCTTGTGAAGGTAGCTTATTCTGTGTGTACTTGGCTGGCTTTTCTCATTGTTACTGATGACTTACGTCTCAGAAGGATCACAATCTGTGGACCCTTCCTGTGGCTGAATATGTACTCTACATATAAAATACCCACTTAGGAGAAAATGGGTGTTTGAGGGGTAATGGGCGATCCATAGGCTTTTAACAGTTACCTGTGCTGCAAAATGGTTAGAATGGGAAATGATCCAAAATTAGACAGGAAACTCTTATCAGAAAGGCCTTGCATTTCATTTTGATTTATTTTTTAAAGGTAAGGTCTCACTAGATAAGCACAGGCTGACCTTCAACTTGCAATAATCTTGCCTTAGCCCCCTGAGTGCTGGGATAACAGGCATGTGCCATCACGCCTGGCATTTCAGCTATTTTTAAAAGCAAGAGTATATGCAAGGAGGTGAACAGATAGAATGAGCAAAAATACAAAATATTACTCATTAAGTAAAATGCTGTACTCGGCACTTTATGTTTTCTCCCTTAAACATACAAAGGAAAAAGCAGCTTTCACCTTGGAAACACTATTAAAGCAGTGTGGATGGGATGTGAGTGTGTCTGTGGTGAGGGCAATTGAACTCAGGGCCTTTGCACTCAGCAACATCATGTCCTTTTTCAGGCCAGATCTTGCTGATTTGCCCAGGCGGGGCCCAAACTTGTGATTCTTCTGTTTTAGCCTCCCAGATTCTGGGGTTCTAAGCGTGCATCACTGTGTCCAATCTTAAAACCTTTTGGGAAAAAGACTGTGTCACAGGCCTTACATTTTATATCTTAATTGGCAAGCATGAAGAGTTACTGTTAAGGAGCTTGAGAGTGTTGCTCATTGCCATAGTGTTTGCCTAGCTTGCATGAGATCCTAAGTTCTGTCCCCCAGCAGTGCAAAGCAAAAATGAAAGGACTACCTAGTTTTATCCTTTTTAAGAGCACGAATACTTAATTTTCTAGAGGTCTCTTTATTTCTCGGTTGTATTAGATAAATCTATAGAACTAGGATACTCTTGCAAGACAGTGTACTCAGGGAAATGACACCTTCATAGAGTGTGCCTCGAATATTAAAGGGCCCTAGGTGATGACGGGATAAAGAAGTGCTCCTATCCCTTAAAACAGTTCTAGGTGACACAAATACAACCTAGTAAAAGTGCAGGTGCTTAGGTTTAGTGTTCATTTCACTTTCTCTGAGGTGCAAGCATCTTTTCTCAGGATGAAATTACAAGCTTTAATTTTTTCCCCTCCCACTTTCCCAAGGAAAGTTGTGTCTGTTCAATTTTGATGTGCTTTTTTAAAAAAGCATAGCATATGTGCATTCC